TGGAAGCATAGTTGTCAAAGTGACGCCCAAGCAATAAGGCACTCATGGAGGGTTGCCTCGCTTAATTGCTAAGACATTTTTTACACGGTGCTCTTGGTTACTTTTATTTTCATAACTTTTTGAGATTATAGTAGTAATGTAGACATTATTAAACTCAATTATTCAGTATAAGTTAAAATACTAATGTCTTTTATTATTTTTTCTCATTTGTTAGGGTTCAATCTACATGTATACTGCCTTGAACCCTTGAAGACTTCAAAACTTGAACTGATAAGCATGGAAGAAACTCAAACTTTTATCCAATCAACACATGTTGATTATTTTCATCATCATTATCATAGGACAAAGATAGAGACTTAACCCCTCTATTTTTTGAAAATTTTCTTCTTCCATTTTTTTCATGAATATATTGATTTTCTTGATTCAAATGAAGCTTATACATTTTTTATGAAGATTATAGACAATTAATAGCAAAATATGACTGTTGCTTTATACAGAACCTAAGGAATTATCTTAGGATTCATGGTTTTTATTCAAAAAGAAAAAATCACCTACACAACTAAGCAACAATTAATGGTGAAAGATGGGTTTTATTCAAAAAACACCCATCACCTAGCCTCACTTCTATGCCTTGAAAACTATGCCCCTAGGGTCCACCACCTTACATTGACAATAAAGAATACAAAGATAGCTTAACATGTCGAGCAATGAATTCACATGGTCACAACACTTTCTTTTGACCCTCCAATAAAACACAACATGCTACCAAACAAATGAAAAACCAAATCAGCCAGCGAGTGTTTGCATGGGTGATTTGGTTTCAATGTGTTCACAACACTTGTGATTCTCTAATAAAACATAGCCATGCTATTAATCAAATGAAAAACCAAATTATGCAGTTAGTGCATCCCAATGTTTTAAAACGCGGAGGCGTGACATGAGGCGTTCCACTACCTACAGGTGTGAGGCGTAATTCAGAATGCAAGAGGTGTAAACCTCCCGAACACAAGGAGGCTTACGCCTCCTTAAGAGGAAGGGGGGTTAGGAGGAGGATGAAGAGGAAGGGGGGATCTCATTTTTTTTATTTTTAATAAAAAACTTTTATATTAAGAAGAATACAGAAGATGCATAACATTAGTTGAAAGGGGGGGTCTTGTCGAAGGGGCAGGGGGCAAACCACTTTCTTTCCCCTTATCTTTTCTTCCCTTCCCTTTCCTTTCCTTTTCTTTCCTTTTCTCTTTTTTTCTTCTCTTTCTTTTTTCTTTCTCTACCCTTTCTTTTCCTTTACTTTTTTTTGTTTTTTCTTTTTTTTTGTCTTTTTATACCAGATGTGCATGAGGCGCATGAGGTGTACACCTCTAGCACACCTCATGAAAAAAGCGCAAGAGGCGTACGCCTCAAAGGTGTTAGTGCCTCTGGCATATGCCTCAGGGCATTTTGGGAGCGCCTCCAAGCGTACGCCTCCCACGCCTTTTAAAACACTGGTGCATCCTTCTGTTGCTACTCCAAATGATGGCACTCACAAGCCACTAACATATGGAAAAAATAGAGATTACCTCTAGGGGTCTACTGCCCGGGATCAAATCTCACTTCCACTAGGGTTGGGGGGGTTAAGGAGATGGGGGATGTGCTACCCCTGTTGTGTAGCCCTATGAAGGGTAAAAGTGGAAGAATAAACAAAACTCTTTTTGATTGACTTGGAGATCCAATTTGAAAAGACCAAAGAACATGGATAAAGCATAGACATCCAAAGACCTTTAAGGTAACAAAAATAGTGGACTAAAAAGGATAGAATAAAGAAATGGAGATTCAACTCTTTGGATGGCATTGTTTATTTATTTATTTATTTTGATGAAAACCGTTAAATTTATTTGTTGAATCTTAGAAGAATGAGATATGTACAAGTATGTTTGCAACCCTTAAAGAGGCTGGCCTATAGCCACCTCATCCATGCCCTTTTGACATTACATTTCCCTAAAATAATTGCTCTCTGTCCACACCTTGTTTGGCCATAGAATCAGCCATCCCATTTGCTGATCCATGGATACATAGAAAACTTGCTTCAAGCTCAAGTGCAGAATTTTTTTTTTCATTATGTTGCTGTAGTGTCACATTTATAATTTGGTGTTTTGTAGCCCGCTTCCTTGCAAGTACTCTGGATGCCATTCTATTGATAATGGTTGCATGAAGAATTTCACCTTAGAACCTATGAGGAACATCCATTGAGAGTAATAGTCCTCTAGTTACTTTTAGCAAATGTCTATTCTTCCTCTCTGCAACTCCATTTTGCTGAGGCATATATGGATATGATAACTTCCATTTCCTGAAGGAATTAAATGCTCCTTCAAAGTATTCTTAACCACTATCTGACTTGAAAGGTTTGTTATTGGTATAATTTAAGAAGCAATTATTTGATAAAAATTGTGATAATGTTAGGAACTTCATCTCTTGATTTTGTTGTCAACAAACCACTTATGTCTAGTATAATCATCTACTAAAGTAATGAAATAACAAATGCCACCGATGGTGAGCAAAGAAAAAAAGGATTACAAACATCACCATAGGCAATAGAAAAAAGGAAAAATGCCTGTTTTTATTACTTGAAGTTTTACAATGTTTTCACAACTCACATACTTCACACTGAAAATCAGGAGTAGATTCGACCAAATCAAGAAATAGAACTTACAAATATTGAAAATTTAAATAACTCAACCTAGAATTCTACAAGTGGATTCTAGCTTCACTAATAGACTGACTACTAGAACTATAACCAAGATAGTTGTTGGTTTATTGCAAATGCAGATAGATGGCTGGGAAGAAGTGTCTAGAACATTGAGGTCATTTTCTTCATTGCCACAACCACTTATCCTCCTTGAGTTCAGATCTTTAAAAGAAAAAGTACTGATTAGAGAAAATGTTACTTTATAGTTAAAAAAATCATGTTTGAAATCACTACTAAAAGAGTCCATTGAACCCAAATAACTTCAACAAATGATTCTCAATCTCCAAAAAGCCTAAAATAAATAAATCTTGATCTACACCAATATTCAAGGGGTTGACTCTCAATTGGTGTCATTTCATCCTTAGCCTAGGTCAAAAAATCAGCCTGAGAACTAGTTCTGATAGAAGAAGTTAAAGTTCCAGGGCTAATAGAATGTTGGGACACATGAATCTCCAGATGAAGATACAAACAACACCTGTAATCTCTTTTGTTGTTATTCCTTTTCTTATACCATGGAGGAAAGTTATGTCACTTGAAGTAATTTTCTTCAGTGTGTTTTAGCTTTTTATGGTACTTGTAAACGTGCACATGCACTGCACGTTGCTTTTCAGTCCTTATGATGATGATGATGATAACAACAACAATAATAATGTCCTTATCATTGTATACATTATATAATACAAAAAATATTATATACAATATTACAAGCCCAGGTCCAGACTTGCTCCTTAACATAAGTGGTAAGCCTGGCCTGGCCCATGGCTAAATCTGTGCCCATCCAAGGTTTCTTTTACTTAAATTGACCCTAAGTTGTACGTAAGGCAATGTTTTGTTGTTTTGTAAAATGGGCATAAACATTTTAGAAAGAAAACACCAGCTATTATTTCCTTCATTTCTATAGCAAAAGCTTTGCTTTTCAGTCCATCTAATTTGCTTTGACGTAAATGGAAAGGAAAACAAATTTTTAAGGGGAGAAAGTTTACTAAAAAGATTTGTTATCTTTTAATAGGCCATAATATGTTTTGAAATATCTTGTTTTCCCTCATTTAAATAGCAAGAGGGAAGGGTGTAAATCATTTCAGATTGGTGTGATCCATCAATGGAAGTTAGTTAATTGAAAGTCGTATTTTCCAGTTGTTTGGGAATGCATACCAGAAAATTGAAAGCCGTATTTTTCAAGGATTTTTGTGAACGAAATTTCAGAAAATACCCAAACAGATTTGATTGCTTTTTAAATCATTTCCAGATATTCCTTAGAAGTCCTCAATCAAACGGTAGAGTCTTCTTTGTCAGTTGTTGCAGGCTAAATCTGCACCTATTGATATGACACACTATTGTCATCATCACCATCTAAGCCTTATCCCAACTATATGGAGTTGGCTACATGAATCCAGTTTTGCCATTCTGTTGTGTTTAATGCCATATTCATTTTCATGGCCTAAGAAATCATTCAGGCTCTCTTGAACTCAGTCAAGCAAAAAAAAAAAAAAAAGATCGGATCACTGTTCTATACCAAGTTGTGTATTTAGATGAGTAATGACACCAAAAAAAAGAAAATAAAAAAATGCAGCAATAGTTGGGAGAAGAAGAGAGAAGAGAGTGGAGAACGAGGTGGAAAGAAGTTTAGAACAAGAGTTTTGGGAGGAAGAGAACAAGCAATGAGCATGCACCTCTATTAGTTTATATTTTAAGTTAAAAACGTAAAAAGACCAGATTATGCCAATTGTATAAGCATATATTTTTTGGAGTGTATAAACATAAAAATGAAGGTGAAAAATCTTACTAATCTATACACTTCAAGAGTTCATTTTTATTGCTTTCCTAATCAGGTACAAATTTAGGAATATATAAAAACTGTTCATGTGGGAGTCATCTCTTGCTTTTTTTCCCTTATTTTGTTGCTTGGGCCATAATGTTCATCTACATCTTGTATACTCTTTCAGCCTTTCGTTTCCCCTTATGATAATTTTTTGTTTAACTATAAAGAAATCTAAGAACATATACTGGAAGAAGGGGAATGATGTACACGCTACCACAATTAAGACTTTTTGATGTAATAAACTGTCTCTTTTACTCTAAATTTACATGCGAGTTCATTCTTTGTAATTTATTTGGCATAATATACTTTAACTTTATATTCATGTAAATGGTTACACAATAATGTGTTTGTTTTTGCCTTCTTTTTCTTTTTGAACAACATTATGGCATGGTAGTGATTAGTCTTGGTTTTCTGGTACCACCCAGCATCATGTTTATTACTTTCTTGGCCATCATGCAGGAGGAATAAAATGTGTTAAGAATGTTACTATTCATTCTTCTTCTATTTTATCTATCAATGCTGGAGAGCATTGGTTAGGTATTGGAGCAGCAGATAATTCCATGTCTCTCTTCCATCGGCCTCAAGAAAGGTTTGGGGGCTTCTCTGGTGCAGGATCAAAAGTTCCTGGGTGGCAACTGTACAGAACTCCACAGAGAACAGTTGCTTTGGTATTCATCTCTTTCTGTGAACTTTTTATTTCATAGATAATTTAGTGCAACATTACAATATCAACAGAAACATTTTTCATATTTCAGAAAGGTTTGGGGGCCTCTTTTTTGTTTTGTTTTTTAGTTTTTTCCATAGTTTTAAATGTCAGAAACATTGCCAAATTTTGGTCTCAGGTACAGCCACTGAAACAAAATATTAAGAATTTTATAAAGAATTATTTCAGCCAAAATTTTTCATTTTTTTTCTGAAATTATGCCCACTTCTGGTGTTTTTGACCAATAGTTGACCCAGATGGTTGGACTGGTCCATAGTCTGGAGGAGAAAGCAGCACTCTAACTGAAAACCCATTAAATGTCAAAATCCTGTTGATTTGGTCAGTGAACTGTCAACCTGGATAGTTGAATTGTTGTTTCATTTGAACCATTAACTGTTTGTCTTTTAAAAAAATAATAAAGATCTATGGTCCTGTTTGAGAGAGAGAGAGAGAGAGATGTGGTCCTGTTTGAAGTATGGAGGACACTTATGTTAGAGATGATTGAAGACATTGCTTATTTTTTCAAAAAAAAAAAGATAAAATAATATACTACACTACACTAATATAGATATAAAATATTAATGAAATTATTATAATTTAATCAATGATTTAAAACGCGGAAGCGTGACGCAAGGCGTTCCACTACCTAGAGGCGTGAGGCGTAATTCAGAACGCAAGAGGCGTAAGCCTCCCAAACACAAGGAGGCATAAGCCTTCTTAAGAGGAGGGGGTTAGGAGGAGGATGAAGTGAAAGGGGGGATCTCATTTTTTCTTTATTTTTAATAAAAATCTTTTATATTAAGAAGAATAAAGATGCATAACAGTAGTTTAAAGGGGGGATCTTGTCGAAGCGAAGGCGAGTGAGCGAAGCGAGCTTTTCTTTTCTTCCCCCCCCCCCCCAGCCGAAGGGGCAGGGGGCAAACCATTTTCTTTCCCCTTATCTTTTCTTCCCTTCCCTTTCCTTTTCTATTTTTTTCTTCTCTTTCTTTTCCTTTTCTTTCCCTTTCTTTTCTTTTCCTTTCCCTTCTTTTTCTTTCCCTTTCTTTTCCTTTCCTTTCCTTTCCTTTCCTTTTCTTTCCCTTTCTTTTCCTTTCATTTCCTTTCCTTTCCTTTCCTTTCCTTTTTTTCTTTTTTCTTTTTTTTTTTCCTGTATTTTCATATCAGGTGTGCATGAGACACAAGAGGCATACGCCTTAGGTGCCAGAGGTATCAGCGCCTCTGGCATACGCCTCAGGGCGCAGCTTTTCCATCACTCCCCATTTTACTAGGTGATTGTTATTGGTCTCCCTATATGATGGTTTCATAAGAAGGCCTCATGGTATATAAACTTTGCCAGCAATCTTAGTTGTAACCTTGAAAACTAACATGTTAATTAGGAGGTTATTGGAAGTGGATCTAATCAAGGTTTTCTTTCCCCCCTAGCGGTATGGGCTTTTACTTGTGATTTGTCAATGGTTCTATATGCATTTTCATAGTAAAATAAAAACATATTAAGAAAAGCAATAGTATAAAATGTGGGACCATACAGAAATGCCCATGATCAAAAGATGCTCCAAACCTCTCTAAATTTTTAACCTTCTTTTTCCAATGATTGGAGACCTCTCCAGCTCCAGCTCCTGCTTCTGGGCAGTCTTGTACTGTCATTTCAGCTATGTGATCATGGTTACTATGTGTATGGTGTCTTAGGTTGGCACTGGTCCTTGTATGCATGTTGGCACCATATTGCACACTTGAAATATTATATTTTCTTTTATCTATTGAAACGGGTTAATTCACTGAACATTTATAACTTTCCTCTCAAACTCATGTTGCATGAATGCATATATTGTCATGCATGAATCTTGCTTTGCATTTTAGTCTGTTTTACTCTTCTGCTTAATGCTTAAATAAGTTGTTAGGGGTTTCATTTTGAGACCATGTTTCAGTGTTCAAGATTGTTTTGGATATGGATCTCAGAATTTTTATTCTTGCTTTCTTTGCATAGACTGTTGTCTCTCTGCCTTGTATTTATCTACCTTTTCTTTTGGATTTATGCTGGTGTTTTTTCATAATTGCATGCAGGTACGCTGTGTGGTTTCGGACCTTGAACGGAAAAGGATATGCAGTGGTGGTCGTAATGGACTTCTCCGGCTGTGGGAAGCCACCATCAATATCTAGTATTTCTTTGGTATGTAGTGGTATTTTTAAACATATGCGGGTGTGCAATTTGTTTGCGAGTGGAGGAATGCAGCTACACAGCCTATAGCCTACAATTGATCACTCTACAACAAGGGCAGCATATCAGAGTATAAATCCCCCCAACCAGGCCTTTTTGTGCTATTGGAGAAATACGGCACTGAACTTTACCTAAATTATTCGTCCAGCTAATGTACAATTTTGTTTCAGATCATACCAAATATTAATTTGTACTTCGTGCATCTGTTTGTGCCGCTTGCTGCTAAGTTGCATGTTATATGTTCATCTTATAGGATCGTAGAGTTAACAGTTAGAAAACAGAAGCAGATCAGCAAATCTTTAGTCACGTTATAACATAATTATATTAGACAAAAGCCGATCCGGAATTGCAACTGCTTTGACCACCGGTTTTTGGGTCAGTGGTTTGACCATCTTGTCTAAATGGATCAGCCCATGATTCTTTAAAAACTTAAAAAAAAAAAAAAGGCTTGAAAATCATTTCCGGGTCGAATGGATGAATGAACCATCAAAATGAATATACAAAAGGAAACGGTGCACTAAATCTGGGATTTAGTGCGACTTTCTTTTTTTTATTTTACCATCAAAATGAATACCATTGACAAACCACAAGTAAAAGCACGTTTTTTGTATAAAAGGTGAATTTCATTAAAAATAAGCCAAGGTGGATACTCCATTACATAATTCAACCTGGGCAAAGCCCGGATCCATTCTGATATTATATTTATAGATTATAGAATGAATGTAGTTTCGCCTTGCCTTCTGGCTGCTGCAGTGTTGCTTCGTGAGCCACCTGATTGAGATCTTCAAGCAACATAATCGGGTCCCTACAATCAGCATTCGGCAACAACTGCATCGTCTGGTTTGGACCTTCTGTCCTCAAGCTTAATGGCTTCAATGGCTCCCTTTGCGTAGCTGGGATCTGCTCACAACAAAATAATTTTTCATTTATCTCTCCATGGTTAAATCTTATGATGGATCTATGGTGAGATGTGCGGACACAGATCATGTTGGAAAAGTATTTTGTTGTAAATAGATCTATACCCGCATTTAATGTTGGTCCAAAGTTGGCATCACAAATTGCAATTTGCTTTGATCCATGCTAGTGAGAGTCTTGCCTGTCTGACTCGTTCCGATTCTACATTTTTGAAGACCATCTTGCTCTACAATACTGGGCTCTGAATGGCAGATAGCTCATTCAGCATATGCATATGGCTCTAGACCCCATAGTGTTCACATGTAATTTGTCAAGAAAAGTAATAATCTTGCAAAAGCACTTAAACAGTGGAATAGAGAAAATTTTGGTAACATTTTCAAGAAAAAACAGTATTTTAAGTAGACTTAAGGAGGTACCAAAACAAATTTCAGACTCTCCTTCAAACAGAAGCCTTCTAAACTTTGAAAATGCACTCCAAAAACAATTGGACAATATCTCGCTCTGTGAGGAGGCCTATTGGGCCCAAAGAGAATGGATCAATTGGTTGAATCTAGGGGACCAGAATAACAAATTCTTCCACACATCTGCTACTATTAGGAAATCAAAGAACCGGATTGTCGGGGTTAAAAATGAAGGTGAGTGGATTGGAAATCAATTTGACATTGCTAGATTCTTATGAAAAGTTTAGTAAATGATTCAAATCAGAGGGATCGAGTGGAATTGGAAGTTTCCTAATGAAGAAATCTTCGAGGCCCTCTCTTCAATAAAGGAATTTAAAGGCCCCAGGACCGGATGGTCTTAATTCCCTTTTCTTGTAGGGGATGAAATCTATGGAGTAGTTAAGTCTTTCTTTCACTCAGAAGATGTGTGGAATCCTAACAAAACTTTCATCACCCTTATCCCTAAGTGCAAGAATCCAGAAATAGTCAACAATTATTGCCCAATAAGCATCTGCAATGTTATCTGTAAAATCATAGTAAAAATTTTGGTCAATAGAGTAAAACATTTATTGGACAGCCTTGTCTCCCCCTCTTCAAAGTGCCTTTATGCTTAATAGGCAGATTAATGACAATATTCTTTTTTTTTAATGAAACCAAAGAGTACTACACACAATGGAAGTAGTACATTCCCAAACATCAGCAAGACAGATACGGAGAAGAGACGAGGGGAACGCAGGAAAAATAAAATCAAGAGAAGGAGAAGATGAAGAGTGGGCTTCACGAGCAAGCCAGTCTTCCGCCTGATTAGCTTTATGAAAAACGTGCCGGTACCGAAGACCTTTGTCGAACAGATCTCTCCTCCATGGCGGTTAAGGAGTATAACTCAAGTTGCCTGGAGCTCATGGATTCTTTCAACATGAAGATCTCATATCGGCATCTCTATCGGGTGGCTAATCAAGTGGTGGGCCTTCTAACTCACGAAGCTTTGGAGAATAATGTGGACTTCCTTTCTTTAGATTCATGTAACCTCCCTTCGGCCTTGCTGACTCTTGGCGACGTGCTACCCCCACCTTATGTAGCACAGTCCGGTTATAATAAAAAAAAAAAAAAAAAAAAAGCATATGCATATGGCACCATAAATTACTACCTGAATTCCATCTATTCTAAAACTGATTAGTCCTCTAGACCACATTTCTCTAGCAAAGTTGCAAAAAAGAAGCATGTGTTCTACAGTTTCTTCACCATTGTTGCACCCAAGACAAGTAATGTCCAACCCTTTTCTCCTGTTCAGTGTTCACCAAGGCCTTCTTCGCGGCAATGGATCCCTAACAGTATCCCATATCCCTAGTGCAACAAAGGAAAACCTTGGTTAGATCACTTTCAATAACCTCCCAGTCAACATGTTAATCTCCAAGGCAACAATTAAGATTGATGGAAAGGTTAAGAAATCACAAGGCCTTCTTATGAAACCCTAGGGAGGGCTTCTTATTGGTTTACAAAATTCCATTACAAACTTTCCCTTAACTATCTTGTGTCTCTTATTTTCTATCAAAACACATAAGCCCAAATGACATTGGACATGTCTTCCACGTGGTAATTTAGCTGGAATCTCAAAAGAGTCCAACATGAGTGAATGAGGTGACTGGATCTCCTGTTAACATTTTCCTACTACCCTTCCTACTAATCCAGAAAAGCTTGGCCCAGGGTGCAAGCTGGGCTAGGCTTAGGCAGCCCTCAAGGCCATCCATATCTTGTAAAACCTTCCCTAGGCCTAGCATCACCTAACCTATGACCATCCCTCCTTTAAATGCATGTAACATCACTCCCACGTGCAACATTCATCTCTTGGTGTGAGTTAGGGGCACAACATGGCTGGGTCCAACCCGAGCCCAAATCAACCCAGGCCAATATTTTACACAGGTTGGGCTTGAATTTGGATCTTTGGGCTGGGCCTAGGCCAAAAATTTTGGTTTTTTTTTCTTTATTTTTCAGGTTGGACCTAGGCCTAGCCCTTAGGTAGCTTGAACCCAGCCTGTTGACTTTATCCCTATTCTAATTCGAGCCTGACCCAATCATGTATATACCATGTATGTGTATATAGCCACATATTTGCATGCACAAATTTTTGGCATATAAGTGCATATATTTTTTTTATCAATCCGAGTGCATTAAATTACAGTATGGGTTGGGCTTAACCTCATGTTTAGGCCTACTATTAGGGTTAGGCCTTGGTTGAGCTTAAACCAACTTGCACCTCAAGTAGGGAATAGGATTGCTCATCTAGGAGATGATGTTTCAAATGGTGGTAGGTAGGGATTATCATGGGCCGAGTCAGCCCAGATAAATGGGTTGGTCCATATGAGTTAATAGTATTTATGTATGTTAAAAAATTAAAATTTTAAAATCAAAATTACAAATATTTCTAAAAATTTAATGTGTATCTATCTATCTAGATTTAGCACCAATATTGTCACACTAGAGAATGAGAGACTGAGAAGGAGAAAAACCAATTTCACACAACAGAGACTAAATCCAAAGGGCTTTGGAGGCAGCAGGAGCAATACCCTGATACCTAGTTTCAGTGTTAGAGCGAGAAACAGTGGCATGTTTGCAAGAAGACCAAGAAGACACTGATACCTCCTTGGGAACGTCAATCATCAGCAATCTCCAATGTCAATGGAGGACTTCAAATAGCGCAATATGTGTTTGACAAATGCCTAGTGCATGGTAGTGGGAGAACTCATGAACTACAAGCTTTGTTGACAGGTCAATCCAAGTGATGAGAAGATACTAGAGGGCCTCGATGACACTTCTGTACAATTGGACATCAAAAAATGGATCTCTATTTTGTTGAGACAAATGAGAGCCTGAGGCCACTGGGGTTTGAATTGGTTTCACATAAGCCAAACCAACATTGCAACAAGTCAAGAGCATAGTGCCACTAGTTGAGAAAAAAGCCAGAGCTAGCATGGGTAGTCTTGATGCCAAGAAAAGAAATAAGGGGCCTAAGTTATTGAGAGCAAATGAAGAATTCATGGCAGCAACGAGAGGTGAGATGGTTGAGTTAAACCTGATGAGAGTTAGACCCTTAATAATAATTAATTTTATAATTATTAATTTATATATATAATTTTTTATTTTTATTTTTATATATCTTTTATATGTATATATTTTTTTTATTTTTATAGGAAATTTGGCTTATTTTTTTATATGCATGTTTTTTATTTTTATAGGAAACATATCTTGTTGAGCTCAAACATACTAGCTTTCTAGTTGAGTCGAACTTGAGCTCAAGTCTCTAGCTCAAATAGATCTCAAGCCTCATGGTTTTTTATTTGGTAAACCAAGCTTGAATAGGCAGATATTCAGCTTGGCTCAGCTTAAATCCACCCATAGTTCAGGCTTCGATGGGCTCAAGCCTTTAGCTCAATTTTTAGGGTTGGGCCTAGGTTGAGCTTAAGGCCTCGTTCGCTTTTCAATAAGTTACTTACTCGAGTAATTGCATTTATCCATATTCTTTTATTTCCTAGGTAAAAGTAGAGGTGTAAATCGAGTCGTGCTGCCCACGACTCGGCACAATGGTCCAGGTCATGCTAGGCCTGGGGTTCCAGATCCACCGGCTAGCACGACACAACCCGCGGGCTGCTCATGGCCCACATGCCAACGCGGCATGACATGGCCCACATGCCGGCGTGGCATGACATGACCCGCGGGCCTATAGCAGGCCGCGCTCAGTCCGCCCGATGAAATAGCTACTAGGGCTCCCCAACAGCTAGTTTCAGGTTTTTGGGGGGTATTTATATAAAATACCCCCCAACAGCTATAAACAACTATAGTATTTATGTATTTCAGTTTGAGGGCATTTTGAGTG